TCTGGGTGCCCAGAAAATTTCCTCTGCAATTTTATTGATGTAGGGTGATGCAATCAACAGAGTGGTTTTTGTTTTCAGCCAAATGGTAGCAAGGGAAAAAGAAGAAATACATAGGAAGGAATTTGCTGCATCAGTTAGAAGTAGATACTTCAAAATACGAGGAAGAGCAACAAGAATGCTTTAGTCTTTTCCCCCTCTCCGCTTGCATCCATGCATGGCACAAACATGACCTGGCAACCTTCCCCCCCCCCCGTTATGTCCCCATGAAGTTGCATTCTGCTGGTCCCAACCTATGCACAAGGCAAGGTTAAGCTCTCTTTTGCTTTACTGGTGTAGAAGTTGTCCCCCCACTCCCTCTTATTGTTATCCCATTCAGCAATAGCATCAAGATATATAAAATCTGTTAGAAGCAGAAAAGGGATTGGCAGTGGGGAGAAAGAACATCATGCTGGTATATTTTCCATTGATTCAAGCACAGGCAGAGAGCAGTTCAGCTCAGCAATGGGGAAAAGTTGCTAGACATATTTGTCCTGAATCAGCAAATAGTTGCAATGTACATATAGATTTTTTATGTAAGGAAGTCTCCTGGGAATGTCATCTCTGTGCACAGTGCGCTCAGAGTAAACATGTGACACAATCCTACGGGAATCTTACCAGCTTCATTATTGCTATGTCACTTATCCAAACTGAAATTGGAGCAGTTCACCCTTCAAGTGAATGCTTAAATATTTAACCTCTTGCCCATTTTTTAATTGGAGGAAAGTCTTTTATTTCTTTTCCCAACACACTAACTTTCTACATGTTGGAGGATTAAAACAACCATGTTGTTTTATCATTCAGGGAAAAATGCTAGGAAGGAAAAAAAATGTGTTATATAAGATGCAAAATATTTTAGAAGCTGGTTTAAGATGAGCACAACAAAACCCTAAATTCAACGCATTTCTTTTTAATTTCAATAACAACAGGGCAGTTGATAACCAGGACTGTAGGATGTGGCTTTTCTAAGAATTGGTTATACATTCTGAATCTTTTTATCAATAGGAAGGTGTGATTACTGAATAGATCAAGCTCTTGTAGAAGGTACAGAATTTCTTGGATCCCAACAGTGCTGTTCGTCCAGTAGGTCCAGATTTTTGTTTTTTGTTTTTGGTAATAAGAGATCTTCTCATGTTTGTTAAGTTTGGTGTTAAACCAGAATTGCATTAGTGAGAGCTTAGGCACTGTGGCCAAGTGGTGGAAGAGGTGGACTGAATTCATATAACTTGTCTGGATATAACTTATATCCATATATAACTCTGGAATAGCCTCCTTCCAGAGATCAGACTCAGCCCCTTCCTACTGGCTTTTAGAGAGTGACTGGAAATTGAGTTATTCCAGAAAGTGTTTTCTTGATTTTTGGTTTTATTTATTGTGTTGTTATTATTTTCTTCTGAAGTGCTGGTAATTTAGGATCACTGCGAAGACTAACAATCATCTAATACATGTGTGTGTGTGTGTGTGTGTGTGTGTGTGTGTACTAAATGTTGTGAGGTCAAATAATTCTAATTTTGTCAGCTGTTTTGACAATTCAGTTGTTATAGTTCCTAATGCTCCAATAATTATGGGAAAATATTTTGCTGGTTTATTCCATAATTTCTGTATTTTAGTTGCTGTCCCAATATTTTACAGTATTTTCTAGTGCCTTTTGAGCTAATCTAGTGTCATTTGGTATTGCTGCATCTATAATAAAAATTACAGTTTCAAATAATCTATGTAGAGGAAATGTGAACATTTTGTCTCTTGCTTGGGTAATTCATAGTCTGTTGAGATTTTACTCAAAATTATCAGCTGTGGAATCAGACCCATATTTAAAGGCAATGGAGACAAAGAGTCTTCTTGAAAAATTCCTCTTCCAATTTTGATTTCTGCAAGTTCCATATATACCATCAATGTTATTTTCCATTTTTTTATTGGAAAAAAAGCCAAACATTTGAATCCAACCATGAGGCTGCAAATCAAATGTTTTTTAATCAGTCCAAGCCATATAAAAGTTTCTTTTGTGCATTTTAGAGGTATTTTTTTTTAAAGTATTGTTTTATCAACCAAAAATTGGACTTCTGTGCCTGTAGAAGTTGGCTGGGGAATTCTGGAAGTTGAAGTCCACACACTTTAAAGTTGCCAAGTTTGAGAAACACTGATCTAATCTATACACTTCAAAGAGAACCAGTACCTTTCCTATTTTTCAATTCTTGGGTGCTGGACCATAAAACTACCTCAGTAAGAAAGAAATAGGAAAAAGCAGGAAATGCAACCTAACCAAAACTTTGGTACTGGGGGAAGTTGTACCTAAGTTAAATAATTAAGTGGAAAAAGAAAGAGAGCAATCTGGAATCATTTGGTACATCTGGCATATTAGAGAGATGGTGATGGAGAATGTAAATGGAGAAGATGGTAAACTTTCTAAAGAATGGCTATGACTCAACAAAAGATGAAGAGCTCCGTATGAACCTGAGACCCATCACACACAGATTCAACCCCAGCATTGTTTTTTAAATGTCTCTGAGTTTTTAAAAAAGACTATTAGGTATTTGATAAAACAGCTGATTAGCTTTTTAGGATATTGCAGTTTGTGAGTTTCTATGTCTCTCAGCAATAATAATCCATGAAGTACGTTGAAATCTGTTGCAGTGAAAAGTAATAATATTCAGTGAATTGAAGAAGCAAGAAACAAATACCTTATATGGCAAGAAGAGAAGCAGAAGTTAGGGTCCGTGTATGTGTGTGTGTGTGTGTGTGTGGCTTTCTACTAAGAAAAGAAGATTAAATTCGGTAGGACAAATATATACATAGTGCTAATAAATAAATATTGTTCCCCAGAAAAAAAATTCAGGCCATTTTATAAAGAACAAAATCCACATAGTGGTTAACTCACTGGGTGATTTTGAACCAGTCACTCTCTTAGCCCTATCTGCTACACGGTGTTGTGGGAATAAAATATTTATGTATTTATGTATTTATGTATTTATGTATTTATGTATTTATGTATTTATGTATTTATGTATTTATGTATGTATGTATGTATGTATGTATGTATGTATGTATGTATGTATTTGGATTTAAAGGCTGCACAGCTCCCAAATGACTCTCGGTGGCTTACACTTAAAAAGTAGGAAACAAGAAAATGAGAAAGAAAGAAAACATACAAGGCTTAACAGCCACCCTCACCGCAGGCCTGAGACCAAAGCCAGGTTTTTAGAGTCTTGCAGAACAATTGCAGGATGGGAGCCAGAGAGACACTCTTCCAGAGAGCGGGTGCAGGGACAGAGGAGGCCTACTGCCTAGGTCCTAGTAAGCAACGTTGTTTAACTGAAGGGCCCTGGGCAGGCAGAAACTATCGGAGATAGATGGTCCTTCAAATAACCAGACTCTATGCCATGAAAGCTTTAATAACAATAACCAATACCTTGAATTATACCCAGAAGTCAATTGGAAACCAATGGAGCTTGTGAAGCAGTGGTGATACATATGTGCTGCTGCATTACGGACCAGCTGTGCCTTCTGAATGGTCTTCAAGGGCAGCCCCATGTGCAGCCCATTGCAGTAGTCCATTTCTGATGTAGCTACAGCATGACTGACTATCTGAAGGGCCTCCTGCTTTAGGAAGGGGTGCCAGTGATGCGCTGGAGGGACCTCAGGTAAGCCACCTGCATTTTTGGAGGTAAAGTAAAACAGAAATCTAACAAATACAAGTATATAATCAAAATGAGTTAGTCACCATGCTGCCACAAAACTATTTGTTGCTTACATTGCCATCTGGACTTATTGGAGTATGGGACTGAGGACTGATAATACTGTATAGATTTAGGATTTCTGTCAAATCCAGAAAAGTACCATTCTAAAAATGCACTGTTCACCAAGGGGAATCCTTTCTGCATACTACATACGACAGTCTCTATGCCAGAACAGCAGATATACAAAGTATCTCATAAAAGCACTTTTAGATCGGTTTTTTTTTTTTAATATTTGGAAATGTGAAATGTAAGCCTCTGTTTCTCTGAGAAAATTGATCTACAATGACTCAGTTGAGACATTTACCTCAGATCTTCATTCATGTTTCAGCACAGCTGCTTGTTTATTTAGTGATTTAAAATGTTTATAACTTGCCCTACTTTGCTGAATTCCAGAGAAAGATGCAATGAATATAAACCAGTCAATCAAACAATAACACTTGCCTGAAATGAATACAGTATTTTAAAAAAAAAAAAAGCCAGTTTAAAAGCCAGTTTAATTCTCTCTCCCTCTTGATAGGAAATCTAACATCCAATTTCAAGATAGTTTGCTACCAGATTAGCAAAGAACACCCAAACCCTGCTTTCTAGTCAAGGTGCATAATAGTCACCCTGCTTTGGTAGGGTGGCAAGTCCTAAAAATATAAAAACATGAGAATGCAAGCCCAGTAGCAGTATTTTAAAGAGAAACCTTTTGCTGTCTTTCAAATCAGCTACCTCACTCTGCCTGTTCAGGTGGTCACCTTGCTTCTCAAGGTCTTCTTTTAAAATTCCCGTCAGGCTTAAAAGCCTCTTGTCACACCGAAAACGTACGGTGGGAAGGGGGACAGCGCTTTCTAGTCTGGATGATAACAAGAAATGAAATCCCAGAAAGGACTCCTGGGAAGGAAAAAAACCCACCGTTACTGTCCTTTGGTCCCTGGCCTATATTTTCTTTGCGCATCTTCAGGCACATCTGTGCATCACCATGTACAACTAAGCGACAGGAGAATCAGTCTCTGCTGAGTGAAATCTCAGCCCATTTCTCCTGATCTTTAGTAGTTTCCTGAGAATGGGACTGAAGAAATGGCCTAGTGCGACACCTAAGGATCAAAAGAAACCCTGCATTATAGCAAGACTGAATCAGTATATTTTATCCATGAATGACTGTGAAATGCTGACAGCCACCTCAGCTGCTCCTCCTCCTGCTCCTGCTCCTCCTCTCTATCCTCCTGGATTCATTTGAGAGCCAACTTCTGGAGCTGCTAAATGTGTCACAGGGCCAAAAGAACTCACCTGACATTCTTGGACAATCCCAGCTGGAGAGGACTAGCTTCTAATATTTCATTCTTAAGAGGAGGAAAAAAGGGAGAAAACTCTTTGGTTAAGGAGTTGCTACAAGAAAAATGTGAACTAAAGGTAAGAAGAATTTCTTTGTAACTCTGAAAGGCACTTTTAGGCAAGGCATGCTTGTGTGTTTGTTGATTGGGTTATTCCTTGAGGTTTCATTTAATTGTAGTCCAGCTTTCTACATCTATATTTAGACTGATGCATAGCTATCCATATACAAGGAGAAACTGGAATAAATACTGCAGCTGAAAAAGACTTGGAGAACTAATAAGCAAGTCCTAACTGTTGTTTTGAAGTAAACGGGAACAAGCCATTGAAATTACACTCCTGAGTTTGAATGAATGCCTTGTGAGAGAGTAGAAAGCTGAGGTTGCTAGGGATTCAATATGTGAATATGTGACTCAGTGTTGGTATAATTCCTTTCCTTATTTATTCTCCCTATTCCCCCCCCTCTTTTTTTTTTGGTATAGGAAGAACATGCAGTAATTTGGAAAGAGAACAGGATTCATCCTGTTGGTGGAGGAAAAAAAAACCCCTTATAACTATACATCAACTCCATATACAAGTCCAGATGAAGGATCCAAACTGAAAGGGAATAAACAGGACTTAAAAAAAATAATAATAAAGAGGCCAAGGGCCAAATGGGAGTAAAGGGGCGTTTCAGGAAAAGGAAAGAACACTGAAAGGCCTGGTCCTACGAAAGTGGAGGCTCTAAAGGGGACTACACTGCAGAGAAGAAGTCTCTCTTCACAGTTCAGCCTTGCAAGAGACCCTGGGTGGAAAGGCTTTTACCATGGATCTTTGGTGTTTCCCAGAGAATGTTCCGTTTGCTTACAATTGCTCCTTGAGCAATACCACCCTGGAAAACCAGACTTCACAAGCCAACCAAACTTTCATCATGAAACGGAATGAAGACATTGCCAAGGTAGAGGTGGCAGTCCTGTGCCTCATCTTTTTCCTTGCCCTGACGGGAAACTTATGTGTACTGCTGGCTATCTACACAACCCGTCACAAACATTCTCGCATGTACTACTTTATGAAGCATCTGAGCATCGCTGACTTGGTTGTGGCCATCTTCCAGGTCTTACCCCAGCTCATTTGGGACATCACCTTCAGGTTCAAAGGGCCAGATTATCTCTGCAGGTTGATCAAATATCTGCAAGTGGTGGGAATGTTTGCTTCCACTTACATGCTCTTGTTGATGTCGCTGGATCGGTGTTTGGCCATCTGTCAACCCTTGAGGTCTTTACATCGGAGGTCTGACCGGTTGTCTGTCCTCCTCACATGGGTAGTGTGCCTCCTGTTCAGCATCCCGCAGCTCCAGATATTTTCTATGAGGAATGTGACACATGGGGGGAAGGATTGCTGGGCAACATTCATTCTGCCTTGGGGTCCTAAAGCCTATGTCACCTGGATGACCTTGACTGTCTACATCATCCCAGTGATTGTGCTGAGTGTCTGCTATGGCTTGATCAGCTTCAAAATTTGGCAAAATGTGAAGCTAAAAACCATCCATGAAACAAGCATGAGTCTAACCTCTAGTAATTCCCATGGAGGCACACTCTCCAGGGTGAGCAGTATCAAACTCATTTCCAAAGCCAAGATCCGGACAGTCAAAATGACCTTCATTATTGTCTTAGCCTTCATTATGTGCTGGACTCCTTTTTTTATTGTGCAGATGTGGCTTGTATGGGATGAAAATGCTCCAAAAGAAGGTATAGTTTGTTCTCCTTTTTTAATGCCTGCCTATGTAGCTCTGTGCAGTAATTTGCCTCAGTGAAATTTCTTTAAAATATATCTATAACTGAACTATTATCAGTAGAGTTGATCTGTAATGTAGCATTAAACAAAGCTTTAGTAAATATTCAGATTTTTAAAAAGCCTTATTCAAATGAAAAAAGCAGAAGACTGGCTCATTGGCTAGGATGATAGAACAGATAAAATATAAAATGCGATTTGAGATCTTAGATATTATTTATGTGACCTTGGATAAATTACAAAGTATCTCTGCCCATAATTGTCCTGTGTAAACATGGGGAACTTGGATGCTTTTATGAGGAAGCTATATGGGTGGAGTATAAGTCGGGAGGAATAGGAATAATCTGCATAGAAATGCCCAGTATTTTTTCAGACTTAGCCACATCAAATAATTTTCTATTAATCTTGATGAGAATGCATGAAAAATAATGTTTATATCAATTACTGTGAGCAAATGGGAAATTGCTTTTACAAGTAGAATGGAAGTGCCACTGTAGCTATAATATTTTTCACTGAAGGAGCTCAACAATGTCATTTAGACTTTACTCAATAAATTGGCTGATTTCTAAATGCTAGATCAGAAATGAAGGAAGCAGAGGAATTTTGTGAATGAGTTGTGTAGGCTATCACTGACTGGGGAGTTGGGAGCTTGACGTGCGGGGGGCACTAACACAATGCGCTATTTATGTTAGGAATGGATAATATTGAGGACTAAAGATTAAATCACACTAACAGAATCATTTATAAGAAGTTTAATAATTTAAAAATGCTTCCCATTTGCCTAAAATTGATTGTATAATAATGTCTTAGCAAAAGGACTAGAAATATGATGTTACTTCCTGAATCGCTATGTTCCTTCTTTTATGTTACTTTGAAGAAGTGGATTGTCCTCCACAGACATTTGTGCCTTGTTCAGTTTGGTACTTTGAGGTATCACAAGATTCTCTACTTTGTCCCAGAACTGGAAATCTTCATTTTTTCCTCTGAAAAATAACAAATAACTAACAGATACATTAGTAAGGGCTTTGGCTGATCTCACCCCAGCAGTACCTACAATGTGTGGTTCAGAATAAGAGCTATGTGGCAAGGCACATTTTCCAGCATACTCTCTATAATCTAAACAGGTTGAGGTCAGCTTTCCACATACATTTATCTATCAGCAGTGTCTGGTCTACAGAGAAGTTGCTTAAGTCCATCAGCTGGCTCATGAATGAGCGCACACTGTTTTTGGATTAAGCATCTACTTACGTATGGGAAAGTGCCCAGACTGCCACTGCTCTTATCACTCCAAATATGTATAATCGTAGTCTGAGAAGGTTGGGGGAGAAGCCACTGTGGTCTGGGGGTTGAATATGCATTTTGCTGAACAACCTGAATCTCTTGATTGGGATGTTACAATCTGAAAAAAATCAATACCAGTTACAGCAAAATTGTCTTATTTGGCTAAGACTGTAAGTGCAAGTTCCAGCCCCACCCCTGCAAAAGAGAAATGGCATCAGACAAAACAAATGTTTAGGCATAGTAACTTTGGAAAATCATAACCAACCAAAAATGAAATATAACAACTGAGATTTAACAAAGTGATTAAGTTTGGTTAGATCTGTTGAACATTTGATAAAAGTTGGATCAAACTGGATGATTGATAGCTGGTCACCTTTGTGTTAGAGGGGAGTCATTAGATGCCTTCCGGCTCTATTATTTTTAACTTTAGTAACATCAAAGTTGCATTTATAATGTGTATAACCCATAATTCCCGGAATGGCCAGCTACTCAAATTCAAATGGGTGATGATCAGTGGTCTCTCTCCAACTTCAAACACTTTGCTCCTTCTTTTCCTACAAAAGGTAATTTTGAGATAATGCATTTTTCAGTAAAGAAATGAAGGATGAGCTTGGTTAGCCTTTTTCCTGTTCCTATCTTCCCATTTAAATTGCCCTTCCCCAGCTGGGAGGAAGAAATATCTTTTTGAGCTGACAGTCCTGGTGTTGCAACATGGATGCAGAGAACCCAGACTCCTATTCCTGTTCTGACTGCAGCCCCCTTTAGTCAGCCTACGTTCTATTCATGGTCCTGTTATATGTATCAGCTCAGATCAGCTCACAGAGAAAACGTATCAACTCAGATCAGCTCAGATCACCCTGAGAGAAAAGTCATAATATTACTATGCTCAATGAAGAGCCCAAGAACAAGGTATTCTCTAGGCATTATTTTATTCTCCACAAATCAAAAATATATTAGGACTCTAGATCATTCCACCAGTCATAAAGGAAACCCAGGAACTGGATCTATTGCTCAGTCCAAACCATTGCAAACTAAGTTTGTTAAATAGGGCAACTTTGACAATGATATCTTTCCTTTAATCAGCTAGTGCTCTTCCACTAGACTGGCTTATGTCAGCCACTCTGATACTACCTTTGCTATAAGCATGACAGCCTTGTGTTTCATTAACTACAACCTGCTCAATTCTTATTTCTGTGAGATCTTTTGCCCTTTGTCAGTCAGAGAAATATTTCCAAGGGTATATTTCTTTCACTTCAAACATCTTCAAAAGCCCAAAGGTTTTTATTTCAATCAAAACTGTTAGACTGTCTGAAAGTATTATGTCCCCCTTCTGCTTAGTGGACCAGGAAGACGTGTGAGAAAAAATGTTGTGAAGTTTGCAGAGTTTTGCGTGCCCTCTAGCCAATCAATTTGACCATAGCAATTTTGTTCACAAGCTGTGACACAAAATGAAATGTGTAGAAGACAGAAGATAGCAGAAGGCGAACAAGGGAAAAGAGGAGATGTGGCGGTATGCAAAGCATCTCACAGTAGAGATAACAGCAAAATGAAAAGTGAGGAAAAATTCATTTGGGAATTGGTCTGATAAAGGGTATGAGGAGCTTCCCAATATTCTATTATATGCCGCACGGACAATGTTCCTTGCTCCCAGGGCAGAGGAGATTATCTTATGTCTGATATGGGGCTTTATCTGCCAAAAACCATAAAAGAGTTTCCAGTAAGAATATTTCTTTGTAACACTTTGCCTGCCAAATATTCCAAGAGTTTAGAGGGGTAGAGGAATTATGCTTGTCTTTGAACTGGCAACAGAGGTGGGAACAGAGACCCTTACTCTTCCTTAAGGGAATTAGGAATTAACATCAATTTCAGAAAAGCTGTAGCCAATAAAATGTAAAGGCATCATAACTGACCCGTGGCTATAGATCAAGTGAAGAGTTTGGTCCTGTCAAATGTTGCTAATATCTCATTGTGAGAATGATCTGGTGATACTGTTTGTCCACAGTAGAATGAAGTACGGCAAGCCCAATGGCCCTCTTAAAGAACGGGTTAAGCAAATAAGAATACAATTCAGATAATGATCTTCCCCTCCTAGACCTGAAGATAGCCTTCCCCATCTCAATGCCCACCAGACGTATTCAGTCAATATATCCTGGAATTCCCAGGTTATTTCATGAAATGTCAATCCAAGAAAGTAGTTTTTCTGGGAGGCAGCATTTAAACTTAATGGCTCTTAAACTTTCCTGATGAGTGTTGTGGAGCAGTTCTTATCTGTTTGATAGCTGCTGCTCTAAAAGATAGTGAGCAGAAAAGTAATACAGTATTTATTTGTGATGGGCTTTCTAATCCATTAATGCTGAAATTGATTGTTGGTGTATTAGGAAGAAAAAAAAACTCAATAGCATTTCAGAATATGAAAATGTGTTTATTAGAATGAATGCAAAGTCCCTATTATGTTTGTAGTCCTAGAGAATGATTAATTTAGCATTTCTAATATATCTTGCCTCTGGAGGAATCTTATTTTTTTACCTATTTTTAGTTACAATATTTCATAGAATTAGATAATGCTCCCCAATATGCCTTCCGTTGGTTCTAGAGGAAAACCTAAATTAATTTTGCTTGTATTTGTTGATTGCTTGCTATATTTCTATGCTCTGTCTTACAAGGGCCCTGTTTCTTTTACTCAGATCCTAATATTGGCTTATATTTATATTTTTAAAGAGAATGATAACAGTAATAGAGCCGTTGCTGATATTTTTGTACTAATAACCCTTGCATGAAATGAACAGTACATACTTATTCAAAAGCTAGTCCTACATTCTTAAGATGGGCTTAGTCCCTTTTAAATGAGCACTGGTTGCATCTGAAGTTGGCCAGTTAAAAACTGCTTTGACATCATGCACAACTTTTATCCATTCTTTCCCCCACAAGGCAAGAGTTGTAGCCTAGACTTTTTCTGATGTAAATTTGTGCTTTGTTTTGGTGGTACAATATAATGAAATGTTACCTGCTGATATTGACTACCCATGCAGTCTTAACCACTGAGTAAATCCTAAAGATTAGCTATGAGTAAGATGCATTGCAGTCATTGGTAACAAGATACTAACTTAGGGTTCTGCTAAAACTTTCATTAGTAGGCCTGTGAAAGGGTGCAGTCATGCAATCAGCTGGAAAGATGTATGTAAAGTGTCCAAGCTAACAATTAACAGAGGCATGGCTGGGCCAGATGTTCAGAATGCAAAAACACATTGGAAAGAGCAGCATGATGAAAAGTTTACTAACGAGCAAAATGTTTATTTTTCTCCCTGTGTAGAGTGGCAGAATCATTTAGGTCAGGGTTCCTGTGCCCTGTGTCAATGAATGAGCATCAAAAATGTTAATAACATGTCCTCTATGTTCTTCAAATATAAGTTCTGCCTTAACTTTTTTATGTTAATGGGGTCTTAGGGATGGTAGTCCTCACGATGGTAGCTGGGACCGGAATTTCCATCACTAAATGGTGTGGTTGTAAAGTGTGACATCACATGACCGCATCGCTTGCCATTGATGGCAATCCCAGCATTCCCCACTGTCGTTGTTAACTGAATCCCACCAGTCATTAGCTGAGGACCCACCCTGATCTGAGCAACTCCTGGCTTGGTCTCTCCCAGCTCCAAGCCTTGCTTTCTTTTCAACTGCC